TGAGGTGGGTTAGAATGAACAGTACAGTGGTACCTCAGGATACATACGCTTCAGGTTACAAACTCCACTAACCCGGAAATGGTGCTTCAGGATAAGAACAGAAATCGTGCTCCGGCGGTGTGGCGGCAGCAGGAGGCCCCATTAGCTAAAGTGGTGCTTCAGGTTAAGAACAGTTTCAGGTTAAGAACGGACCTCCGGAACGAATTAAGTACTTAACCCAAGGTACCACTGTAGTAGGAATGTTAGCATCACTGCATTGGGCTTACTTGTGTTTCTAGTGTATGAAAGCAGGAGTTGCTTTTACTTTTACTGTTTTGCTCCTGCCTCTACAAAGCAGTCACATTTCCTTTAACCATCACCCCCTGCCCAGGAATTGGAGCATGAGGATGGTGATGATAATGATGATGATTTATTTTACAGCAGTGGCTACAGGCGCCATTTCTTGGTGATGGGGGTTCCATACAGGGCTTCCCCCTACTCCAATCCACAATAGATGAGATTCTTCCAAGGCCCAGATAGGCCCAAGGCTCATGAGCAGACCAGGCCTTGGGGTCCACCACTTCCTCACAACCGTTGTGTGTGGCAACCCTTAATTCCCTCATATTCTCTGTTCATCTTTATAGGGTGAGATGGCCCCACAACGAGCCCCAATGAGTGCTGTTGAGAATCAGCAGCCCTGAAAGTCCTTGGGTAAGACCAAGCATCTCCAGGGACCTACTTGCCAGTGCAGTGAAGCCGCACTTTAGGTAGGATAAGTGGGTCCATCAATCTAGAGACAAGGGAAGACCAGCTACCTTGTTCTCCCTGCTATTTCCTGGCTACTGCCTGCCCAGCCCAATGCCCCAGAAGAAGCTAGCCCAGCGCTGGCCGTAGCACAGGGCTTTCATTCCCTGCCATCCTCTGAGAAAGACAAATTCCTGGCTTTTGAGGATCATGAATTCATCCTCTACCTCAGGTCCAGGGATCTCCCTCTCCCCACCACAATCCTTCCAATTATCTGAGGATGTTTTAAGGCAAATTAAGGAAGCATTATCAAAGGAAATGGGTATTATCCTTCCAGAGCAGCAGCAGCCTTTGCAGCCAAAATCTGCACCAGCCTCTGCAACTTGAGCTGCTAATCCTCAACAATGTCAGAATTGCAGCTTGTATCACACATCATCTAGAGAACCTCCAGCTCCATCCTCACCTAATCCTTTTTCCCACCCGTCTACACGGGGATGGTTCCATTCACTCTCAAACCTCCCAGTTTTTGGGGTTTCATTTCCTTTGGCAGAATCAGATGATGATAAATGGAGTGAAGGATCAGTAACTGAAGAACCCCCATCGGACAGGATGCCTTTGCTATGCCATGCCATGCCCATGCCACTCTGGGATTGGCTCCCAAATCAACAGAACAACCTGCAGGCACCACACAACCTCTTCCTGTGGCCTATGCCCTGTCATCTCCCAAAATTGTACCCACCCCTGCAGTTATCAAGAAAGTGACCAAAGTAGAATGCAGGGCTCTTTCTAATAAATATTAACATGCTGGATACAGAATTTGTGGACCACCTTAAGACCTCAACAGTGGACAAACCAGTTTATTCTCTTCCATCAAAATATTTGTTACCAAAGGATGGAGATGCACAGTTAAAATATACCACTGATAGGCCCCTATATTTTGCTCTCAAGTGTGTCCAAAAAGCAGCAGCCCTCTCTTCTCATGTAGGATCTTACAAATCCAGAACAGGATCCTGCACACTCTCTCCTGCTTAAGATCTCCTGAGCAGCATCATTTACAGCTGGATGCTTCTCAATTTGCGGCATGGAGTCTCTCACCTCCATCAGGCATTCTCTCCATCCCAATTACTTCATGATGTCTATAGACCTTCAGGAAGTACCAGCCATTGGTCAATATCATCAATTCAGATTGACTTGGCCACATCTCCAAGAGTATTCACAATGATAAAGGTTGCTTTGGTGGCCCACATCTGCTTCCACAACAACTACAGTTACCCACATCTTAATGATCTTCTGATCCATTCACCAACCAGAACCCAGGCGGTCCTCCATCTTCAATACACTGTCCAATAGCATCATTACTCTCTGGAGAATAGGGGGAATGATAACACTATCGGTCATCTCACTTTACATTATCGCTAGCTTACAAGGTGCCACAGAGACATCCCCACTTCCTTCCACTTTGGAAATCACCAGAATGAAAGTGCAGGCATACACTGTGAAGATTATGAATCAAGAGAGTTGGCTTTTTGGCTGTTATTTGTACAAGTGATGTAATTGAATAACTGGCTTCTAACCGAAGGCAATGTACACCCAGGGCACGTGAACTAATACTAAGCAGATAGGTTCTGTAACATGTCTGCCCCCTGGAAAATGCTTTACCAATCAACATTCTCTGGAAAATAGATGTAAACCACTGGGGAGTCAATTTTCTCTCCCCAAATAGGTGGTTTTTGTTGTTGAAATGGTGAAAAGAATGGATCGCCTCCTGTAGAAAGGAATTGATGGCTATTATTAAAGTTTTTTTTTTAAAAAAAAAAAAACTGCGCAGAAAGCAATTGAGAGGAACCACAGAAGGGTAATTATTAGCTAAATGAGCTATTAACTTCTTCATGAATGTTAAGGGAATGGGCATAGTAGCCCCCAGGAGAAGATTAGAAACCCACGAGCCCATGGGTTTCCTCTGTGATTGATCATATGTCATCTACACAGGCATTCTTATTTATTTTATTTTATTTAAATTGGAAAATGAAGTAGTCTGTCTGGTTTCTAGGCTGATGCTCCACTACAAAGTGGCGGCGGCAGGGGAGAGTAAATGCAGACCTGATTACTGATTGTCACTTATGAACAAGATCCAGACTACTTTTAAATTAGCAATATCTAGCGCTCTCCATTGATTAGACATTTTAGTTGATTGTCTGCCCTTCAATGTATGTATTAAATAATTCTCCGTATTACAAAAAGCAAACAAATTCAGTCTTGTACCTTTTTGACATATTGAAGAGGGTGTGGCTTAATTTAAGCATGTAATGTACAAACACTAGCATTTATTAGGGGGGAAAAAATCCCCTACCTTCTATCATTCAAACTCTAACTTTGAGACATTTACTATTACAAACACTAGAACCAAGATAGCTCCAGGTACCCGTAATTCACATCCTTACAGATTTAAAATTTGCCCTCAGTGATTAAGGCTTCAATCCTATACCCAATTACCTAGGAGTAAGCCCCACAGAACTTCACTTCTAAATAGATATGTATAGGATTTAGCTTCCACTGATGAATCCAGTGATGAATTAGGTTGTAAGGACATAAAACTTTCCAGGGAGTAAGCCTCATTAAAAACAATGGGGTTTACTTTTAAGTAGACATGACTAGGGTGCTGCTCATAGTTGATTAATCCACCTCCCATTGAAAGTTACAGTTTTGATCAAAATTTTGCTCCACCGTGGACTAAAATGCTTTTTTAACTGTAGATGGCTGCTTTTCCCTTTCTGCCTGTGCAGACTGGGGTCTTTTCTTCCAAAAACGTAGCGTGTGTATGTATGTAAAGAACAGAACCAGGAACTGACTTATTTGTGGTTCTTACGATGGAGTAGGTGACACTGACATTGCTATTTGAGGACTACGATTTGCTCTCATAAAGCCAGAGATGTAGCCAGTGATAAACGAAGATGGTCTATTCAGTGTCCCTATTCATCTCTTATATCCTGATCCCTGATGTTCGCAATCGCTGGGGGGGAAATAGCTCCTCCTTATTGTACCTGAAGAATGTTGTACTGTTTTCTTAAACAGAAAAGGTGTCAGAGATTCAATAGAAACCACATAGTCTGAAGCTGGGGTGCACTCCCAGGTAGCTGTGTAGGCTGTGTATATTCTCTTAGAGCCTTCCTTAGGAATTAGAGGTGTACCTTATTGGCAGCTACTTTGTAACCTCTTGAATGGTCAAGACTAGGAATTAGGGGAGAAATTTGATTCGGATCACATTTAAAGCAGAAACTACCATGTTGGCACTTCCCAAAACAAAATGAGAACCAAAACACAGCTATCCTTCAAAAAATTCACATATCTGAATTTTGTAATGCAGTTCTTCACCCAAACAAGATTTACAAAAATGGGTATAGTATACATAAAAATGAATATATTAATAAAAATAGCATAGGAGCAGGGGGGGAATGCTGCCTTCCTATTCTGCACATACGAAACAAGACAACACTCTGCAAGTAACATGAAGGCTACGTAACTTTTCAACCAGTTCCTAAATTTGATGTACCGGTACTTAGAATGAATGGGACTCTGGGGTAACAGAAGTCAAGGGTTAGGTTTGTGGATGCTCAGACAGGGTGAGGACTGAGGCTTAGATATTTGCCTTGGTTCTGCTCCATGTTGCCCTTGCTTTTGTTAGACCATGTAATCCATTCTCCCCAGTGAATTTGGCTGCTGTCAGTATAGTAAGAACATCATTTGCCACCACAGCGTTTCTTTGTATCAGAATTTCATGCTTTATACCTTTCAGATGGTCATGTTAGCTGGTATAATTTCTGCCCTCAGATCTCTTTATCTCATAGCCTGTCCCCTACACTGAATTTAGCTTACAACAGTTTAAATGATACACACAACTTGTCTTGTCTTATGCACACAGTAAGTTCGGGGGGGACGACTGCTCAGATTCATGTTTATTTTGAGTGTATGTCTCTCTCTGTGTGTCTATATAGATTGAGTGGTTAATGTGCATAGAGACTGGACATTGTGCACATTCACCAGACCTCATTCACATTCACTGAGTTCCATTTGAAGAAAAAAAAGCCCTCTTCAGAAGTATAGTCTCCAGATCAAGGGAAGAAATAGTATCACTCTATTCTGCCTTGGTCAGACCACAACTGGAATACTGTGCCAGAACTGGGCACCACAATTTAAGAAGGATGTTGACAAGCTGGAGCGTGTGCAGAGGAAGGCAACCAAGATGATCTAGGGTCTGGAAACCAAGCCTTATGAGGAATGGTTGAAGGAGCTGGGTATGTTTAGCCTGGAAAAAGGAGACTGAGAGGAGATATGATAGCCATCTTCAAATATCTCAAGGGCTGTCACATGGAAGATGGAACAAGCTTGTTTTCTTCTACTCTGGAGGGGAGGACTCAACCCAATGGCTTCAAGCTACAAGAAAGGAGATTACGACTAAACATCAGGAAGAACTTTCTGACAGTAAGAGCTATTTGACAGCTGAACAGTCTCCCTCCAGAGATTGTGGACTCTCCTTCCTTGGAGGTTTTTAAGCAGAGGCTGGATAACCACTGATCATGGATGCTTTAGCTGAGATTTCTGCCTTGTAGGAGGTTGGTCTAGATCAGTGTTTCCCAACCTTGGGCCTCCAGCTGTTTTCGAACTACAACTCCCATAATCCTCAGCTAGCAAGACCAGTGGTCAGGGATGATGGGAATTGTAGTTCGAAAACAGCTGGAGGCCCAAGGTTGGGAAACACTGGTCTACATGACCCTTGGGGTCCCTTCCAACTCTACAATTCTATGATTCTATATGTTTGGTAATTTAATATTTACCACCACTTTTCATGGAAGAGAAGCTAACCAGTCTATAACTTCTGAGGTCCTCCTGGAACAACCACCTCCCTTTAAAACAAGGTGTTAAATTGACCACTTTCCAGTATGCAAGCTAATCTAAGGGGAGATTTTTGTTAGAAGATTAGCCATTTTACATTTAATGCTGTCCAGACCTGGAGATTTGTTCATTTTTAATTTGTCAACAAGACCCAGAACTTCATCTTGTACCACTGCCATTTGCCTCAGTCCCTCAGACTCCCTTCTGGAGAAAGTTTAGACGCAGCCTTTGTGAAGGTAGTACAACTCACCACTTACTGCAGCATTTCGTCCACTTGGTGTCCCTCTGATTTCATTTTCCTCCCCAACATCACCCCAACCATTCCAGACAGGGGAGCGATAGCATGCTCCCAGTTCCAATTTAGGCTTGGGGTGCGGCACGGCTCCAAATTTTGCTGTTGACCAGGAACCTAGTTACCTGCTGGGCTATTTACAATTCTTGCTGAATTGATAATGAAAGCAAGTCAAACACCTGAGCTCCCCTTCCAACTTTCCCAAGGACGGCCAATATATTCCATTTGTGAGGGTGTTTTTTTTTTTAGTAGTAGTCAGCGGATTCCTTCAGGGTAATGAGCTTCATTTAGCCTAAAACACTCTCTCTTCTTGAAAAATATGGGCAGTAATTCTGCTCTAATTTCCCATTTTCTCCATTTTTTATATAGTTTCAAGCATGAAATATGGCAAATTACCTTTAAAAGTTTGATCTGTGACTCTGGAGTCACATTTTACAATAATGAATTTTCTATAACGTCACCCACATTTCCTCTAGCTGCGTCCTGTTCAGAGGCTCAGGATATTGTTGGGTGTGCTGCTGGTGGTTTTTTGGTTTTTTTAATAGATGCAATGCCTGAAAGTCTAGCTCAGCTAGCATGCGTGCAAGAGCCTTATATAATAAGACACTGACTGCTGTGGAAATGACTGAATATAATAGGAAAATCAGAACACAGAATGCATTTTAGTTAATGGGACATTTCCTAGAAGCTGATGCTCTAGAGAGTGCTAATGCCAGCAGAAATGGAAAGGCAAAGGGGGGGGGGGAGGAGATCCATGGATACGGTACCAAAAAATGCCTCTAAATAAACTCACCCTCCCACTCTGCCCCCGCTTAAAGGTGACTAAGGCTGCAACCCCAACCCTACTTACCTGGGAGTCAGCATCAATGAATTCAGGAGGACCTCTGAGTCGTCGAAAAGATGGACCTTTGACAATGTAGGCTACCTGGATGTTTGGGTTTGTTTCCGAAGGATCTTACAAATCCCAGCATGAATGTGGATTAGCCAAAAGTGGAGATAGCTAAATACATGAGCCCACCTTTCTGGCTGCTTCTTGTTTCCTCTTATCCATGCTGACACTGAAATCGTGTTGTTACTTGCAATCCATGTACACATTACCAGCTTAAAACATAGTGAGGTTGTGTGTCCCCAGCCCCCATGCCACACTTCAAGTTGCAATTGCTGTATACACCAGAGACAGAGAAGAGTCTTCCCCTCGTGTGCATCACCTGATTGGTTTTGCTGCACCTGCCCCCCCAAAAACTGTTCATGATGCTCTCCTATCTGCTGCACACAATGTCCTCTGGACAGACGCAATGGCTGTCTCAAAGGGACACACCTCAGCTTAGCTATGAGGTGAATGTTGTTGAAGATTTCCATTTGGGTGGAAGTTTTCCTGTAGCAGCCAATTCCATAATTTAATTATTATGCACTGAAATATACTCGGAGTCGAGAGTGGATTTCATGCTCTTTTTTCAGCTCATAGTGGTGAGGAGGAATGGAAGTTCCCCCAGAATGTCTGCTTTATATACATTATTTACACAATGGGCCCCACGTGATTGGTTAATTCCAGGATTCTCCTGTAGGCCAACCAGGTTGCAGATTCACTTCCACGTGGAGCTGGATTGGGTGGCTCCTGTGGACCAATCAGACTGCTGCATTCTGAATCCTATTGTTCCAGAACCAATCAGACTGCTGCATTTTGGGTCCTATTCAACTCAGTACATAACATGCACTGTGTGAAGAAGCGCTTCTTTTGTCTGTTCTGAATCTTTGAATATCCATTTTCATTGGATGGATGACTGTAGGGTAGTATTATATATATATGAGAGAGAGAAGAAGAAGAAGAAGAAGAAGAAGAAGAAGAAGAAGAAGAAGAAGAGAGGAGTTTGGATTTGATATCCCGCCTTTCACTCCCTTTAAGGAGTCTCAAAGCGGCTAACATTCTCCTTTCCATTCCTCCCCCACAACACACACTCTGTGAGGTGAGTGGGGCTGAGAGACTTCAAAGAAGTGTGACTGGCCCAAGGTCACCCATCAGCTGCATGTGGAGGAGCGGAGACGCAAACCCGGTTCCCCAGATTACGTGACTACTGCTCTTAACCACTACACCACACTGGCTCTCAAGAGAGAGTGTGTTTGCTCTCTCCCACACCATGCATAATTTTATAGACCACTCTCTCGCCTCCTCAAGCCTTATATGTCTGTTTTCTAGGCCTAAAGTGGCTGGAGAAATGGACCAACAAGAGAAGACAAGTGGACATTTCCTGCTCTTGAAAAAGCAGTTCTGCCAGACCGCTTTCCAACAAAAATTATATCTGTCGAAATGAAAGCTGGAATAAGTCTCTCCACCTCCTCCTGTTACCCATCTGTGAAAAATGCCACTGTGATATGATTAGGAAGCTATTTTCTCTAATGCAGAGAATTCATTGTGAAGCTCTTTTCTTTGGCCAACAAAGAAAGCGTCTATTTAGAATACTCTGTGACAGCAACTACAACAGAACTCCTCCTGCTGTTGATAAATCTGCAACCTTTGTTGCCCTGTTCTAAAAGATGCTTTGTGTCTCAGCTTGTTGGAGACAAAACCTCATTTCTGTTGAAAGGGAGGGGGGGAATATGAGGAGCTGGAAGAGATTATATTTCATCTTTTGTAAGGCTCTACTACAACAATGCTATTATCCTAGATTTCTGAGGAATTTAATGGAGCGCTGAAGAACAAAATTAATTGTTTTGTGCTATTAGGGTCTTACTTAAGTGGGTTAGAAAATGAAAGTCGTCGTAATTGCAGATGACTTGATCAATCCATAGCTAGAATATCCATTACTACTTTCTCTTCCCAGATGGGCGGAGGGCAGGGAGTTGCTAGAGCCACAGACACACCTGAATGACCCCTTAAGGGCATCTTCACTACATACTACAGACAACCTTCTCTGCAATGGGCCCCTCACCAGGCCATCCTAGCTGGAGAGATGTTTCTCATTCCCATCAGCCCATCATTTGAACATCATTTGCCACTGCAGAGAAGGCCCATTCTCATTTTGTTGTTGTTTATGTTGGAAGTTGCCCAGAGTGACTGGGGCAACCCAGTCAGATGGGTGTGGTACAAATAAGTTGTTGTTGTTGTTGTTGTTGGGGCAATCCAGTCAAACCAGTTCCTTTGCTAAGGTTGTTGCCTTAGCCTACAAGTTTTGTTGTTGTTTAGTCGTTTAGTCGTGTCCGACTCTTCGTGACCCCATGGACCAGAGCACGCTAGGCACTCCTGTCTTCAGCCTACAAGTTTAAGTACTGCCATTTACCCAGTGCCATTTTTCTAGACAAAGAGGTGCTGGAACTCACCATGAGTTCTTACTTCTCCCCATTCTCTTAGAATGAGAAGTGCTGGAGCTGAGCTCTAGTGAGCTCTGGCTGGGGAGAAAAAAAGCCCTGCATCTACAGGTCCAAAGAAGTTACCACAGAGATAAATGAGGGGGGCTTTCCCCACCTCAGCTGGCTGGTGGCCATGTCATCCTAGGATGAAGAACAACAGGCCATGGGGCAAGACTGTGTAGGTGAGCGTTGTGTGCATGTGAGTTTGGTTGATGCTGGAAACTGAGGTCACGGGGGCTTGTCTTGCTCTGTGCTGGACCCTAGGCTATGACTTGGAGATCTCCCTTGGGCATCTAATGAGGGGACAAGACATGTTGGAGAGTTGGTGCTATGCGCAGGTTGTATATATGTGTAAATAAAACTATAAATCACAGAATACAGTCCTCGTTGACCTTCATTCTAGGGAAACTGAACCCTGTGAAATCACCCCTGGAACTTCTTGCTGCTCATAGATTGGGGTGCACGCAACAGTACGTATAAGCTAGCGCTTTTTGACTTTTTAAAGTTTGTCCCTTTTTATGATGCTTAAATGGCCACCCTAATGGAATATGGGAGAGATGACTAAAAGCACAACATCACTCCAGGGGAACTGTATAAACAGGGCCTGAGCAGAAGCAATAGCATATACATACTGTAACTGTCTCCTCTCTATCTCAATTAGACTGTGTTTTTGATATAGTATTTGCTGGAAGCTAAAGGGTTTATCAGATGTTTCCCTCAGTTGTTCCCCAGACCATGAGCACACATCATTAGCTTTCTTTGCTGATGCTTTGTAGGAGGATGCAAGAGGCCAGAGGGTTGTGGTTACCCACCAGAAAGTTGCTGTTTTCCCAATTTAATTTTTCAGGAAGTCAAATCAGTTGCTGGTATGCTAAAAAATCATGTTGTTTGCTTTGCTGCATCATTGCAATGTCATTATGGCCCTGAGGGGGTGTGAGC